CCTAAGCTTATCTTTGTCCATCAGAACTGATTAGCCTGCCCTTTAATCATGATATCGAAGACTCTAATGACTGCAATTATTCACAAAATCTGGATTCTCTGAGTTTTAGCAGCAATGAAGCTCTTCTTATTTGACCGTCTTAAATGAACAAAGTTAAGCATCATTTTGTATTCATAAATAGGATTAAGACCATTGACCAAAATGAGCCTTCTCGCTTTTGGGAAACTTCAGAAACTAGCCCACCATTGTTGCTGCAAATTGTTGCTTGTAGGGCAAAATGGAGCCACATAAAAATTTCAGAAACTTTACTTACAAGTCAAGCCATTACTTTTTCTTATCATTTCTAGAATGAAGTATTTAACCCTTTCTTATTGTTTAATACACATATTATGGTTAGAAATAGTACTACTGCAAAATAAAATATAAAATTGACAAATTAATTAATATTGACTCAAACCAAAAACCCTAGATCTTTTTCCTGAAATCGTTTTAACTTTTTTCTTTTTCATCTTTACTTGTCCGGTGACTATATCAATCTTAATTGCCAATGTCGATTAGTAATTCCTTTGTTTTTATTTTATTTTTATATTATTTTTGCTTCCTCTTTGTTTTAGTTTTTAATAATTTAATCTTTATGACACATTTTTTGTATTTATAACATATTTTCCTATATTTGTTTTTACAGATTTTTTATCTTTTTATCGATCGTTTGTTTATTCTTTTCGTTTTATCTTTTTCTCAAAGATGGATTTGACGACGCATCAACTGATCAAGATGACAACTATTTATTATCTTGTCGATTTTTCCTGCTTTCAAACCTTAGATGTATTTTGATAAGTGGTTTATATTCGTTAATAGTTTTCTCAACTCACTCGACTCTGATATGCGTTTTACGATGATCTTTCAATATTTTGATATTTTTTTGTGGTTCGTTTGCAAGTGCAATCACATCTATTCGTATTCATCTTTGTTCGAATTTTTAACCTTTTTCTTATATGATCATTGTATAATCTCAGTGATTAGTTTCTTGTGTCAATAGTTAGAGAGAGAGAGATATTTTAATTTTACAGATTTAGGACTGTTGGATGAATGAAATAGATGGTTGAGATTAACCCCTTATTTTATTTTCTCATTTCCTATTGTTAATCTTAGCCATCTATTTTCCCTCATCCAAACGATCTCAAATTCATGTAAAACTAAAAGAGTTTTATATTGTTTAACCATACACACACACACATAATGTCAAACTAGTTTTACATAGATTTAGGACCAATGAATGAGTAAAAATAGATGATTGAGATTGAATCTTTTTTCCCCCATAAATATCTTCTCATTTCTTACTGTTAATCTCAACCATCTATTTTCACTAATCTAACGATCTTAAATCTATATAATACTAAAATAGTTTTACATTGTGTAACATGATCCTATCTCATATATATATATATATATATATATTTATATATATAACTTTCTTCTTATATTTAAAAGTTTGTCAGTACATTAAAGCTATAAATTCTCAAAAGCTGAACTTTTCTGATGCATATGAACATCACCCTAAAGTTTAGTTCAAAGTTAGAAAGCACACAAATATATGTGCATACCAAGATAAGACCCTTTCTTTTAGTTGTAGTTATTGAAGTAGATTGGACATATGTTCAGCAGCAGTCTTGACCATGTGACTAAGACCTTGAATTTGATTAATCTACAATTAAAATTATCACATAATTGCATAATATAATAAAAGTAGCATCACATAATTGCTAAAGTCAACTTAAGAAATTAAATTATGAGAGTTGATGACTTTTTCGAACAAATATCAATACAATATATGATGCTTTTTATAAAAAAAAAAAGTATTAATTAAAAAAGAAATAGTGAATTCTTTTAAATAAACTGATTACTAATTAATGGATCAGTCTGTTTAAAAGAATCAAGCAATGGTAAGAGCTTTCACATTACAAATTGAATGATTTGGGATGCTTTAGTGGCTTGGTCAGCCTTTGCAATTTTATTCTATTTTATTTTACAACCATTAAATAAATAAAATATTGGTTTATTACAAAAGAAAATTGATTTTATTGTATAATCATTGATATGTTATTGATTGATTAATCCAAATTAAATATTGTAGATATCATTTTCAGAGTAATCCTCTTTTATTACAATACCAAACTCGAATAATAAATTATTTAAGAGACATAATACATCATTACAGTAGACTAACTGATAGCTAAAAGAAAATTCAAGTTGATAAAATCAATTTAATTACTATTATTCACTTGATGATATGTTTGTTTAAATAATTTTTAATATTCGATTTTCGTGTAAATGATACAAATAATAAATGAAATCTCACATTATCCGCTATAATGAACCATGATACTACTTTAACCTACAAATAACAATATAAATATTTGTGGGTAAGTAATTTGTTATTATTCTTTTATGTTCTGAGTTCGAGCACCACATATATTAAAAGTATAAGTATTCACGGTCAAATGATTGAAAGTCTTTAAATAAATTCTACTTATATTATCTAATTTTTTTTTAAAATAAAGTGAATAGATTAACTTAAGATTTCAGCATAATAGAGGGATTAAAATCAGAATGAGTCCCCGAATTATTAACGAAGACGTGATAGTTTTGTTTCTAGAAAATTTGTTGGAAGAAAGGGGGCAAAAAGGGGAAAGCAGAGGGCAAAAAGGAAAGCATGGGTGACGTGGGACAGGCATCAGCAGAAGGAGCAAATGGTCTCTCCCACGTGCCGGGTGGGGTTGTCGACTTAGGTCAAATGCCGGTACCAACAACGACACGTGTACGCCAAATACTCATACATTGTCAAGACTTCTTCAAGTTTGAATGTTTGGCTGTCTTTTTGTTTGGTCTCATCTCTCGGCCTCTTTAATTTGCTTCATCTCCCACACGCTACCTTCTAGCGCGTTTCCCCCGCCATATTTTTCTCTCAGTAAATTTACACAAAAATCCAAATTATATCGTAATAAGCAGGGGTGTTCAAAAACACCATACCCGATTAACCCGAGCAGCCGACCCGGTTAAAAAAATATAGATTATTTATATTGAAAATACTTCCGACCCGCTAAATTTTTTGAGTTTTTAGGTCGGGCTTGATTCACAAAATGTTGTTTAATCGAGTACCTGCCGACCTGATACTCGATATATCTTTTATTTTTATTTTATATATATTTTTTATAATAATCAAATTATTTCACTCTAATATTCTAAATTCTTAATTTCTTAAATTTTGTCACCATAACATTCTAAAATTTTAATTTATCAAATTATTTCACTTTAAAATTTTAAATTATTTTTTAAAATATTTATTTTAACTACAAAACATTTGAATTTGAATTATAATTTTTGTTTTAATTTTTAATAATTTTTTTTTCAATTATGTAATTTGATTTTTAAAACTTTATGTCTGGATTATATATTATAGGCCTTTAAATTTTAAATTTTAGAAAATTTCTATATATATTTTAAAAAAAATATAATTTTAAAAATAATGAATCGAGTATCCGTGACCCGAAATAAAGGTACCTACGTTTTACGAGTACCCAGATATAATGAGCTAGGACACGGCCTAAAATTTTGATACCATAAAATTTCAAGTACTCAATTTTGAAAACCCCTAATAATAAGTACATATAAGTAGGTTCTACAATGGAAGATTTTAACATGCTTTTATAAGATTGATTTTTTTATTGAAAAACTAGGTTTTAATTCAGTTTTCTATACAATAAAATTGAGTCAGACTTGAGTTTACAATGAAAAATATTTAATATAATTTATGATCATAATATAATTATTTTTTATATATTTTGAGATAATTCTAATAACGTCTCTCTAATATTTTAACTAGATTTTTATTTTATTAAATTAAAATAAGAATCATTTATATATATATATATATTATTAATATAAGGTGATTACAAAATAATATATGCTCTAAATACTCTCAACCATTTGATAATAAACGTTTAATCACCCTATTGCAGTTGCTGGTGCTCGAAACCATGACCTCTAGGGACAACAACAATTCTTTTAATCACTGAGATAAGTTGGTTCAAGCGATTTTTTTTCAACACGAACCAAATCAAATTTTTATCTTAAAATTTGGATTAAATTTTTAAATCAAACGTAATCTTTCTAACTCTAATGGAGTGATAGGTGGATGATACAAAATTTAGGTAGAGTTTAGATAAGACAAAAGCTCGTCTCAACCCACGCCCATCTCCATATATAAATATATTGTAATTGTTTCTTTATTTTTTTATTTTCAATTGATTTTTTTAAAAAAAAGAAATATTACATGTAAATTTATTTATTTTTGAATTAATCATTGATATATGATCTATTGACCAATTAATCCAGATTAGGTACTACAGAGGCAAAGATGATCCTCTCGACTCAGTTTACTCTATTCGAGAACACTAAGGTTCGAACCCATGATCTTATATAAAAGATATAATTGTTAGTTTACATGGAAATTTATTAATCCGAGTGGTACAAGATAATATATTTTTCGTAATTTACTGAGTTACAACTAAAAACATGGCTTGATGCAATTAATTCCAAGTACAATGAAATATCCAGGCATTTGATTTAAAAGAGCAAACGCATCCACTACTAGTTCTATGGTTGTTGTAATTTTTTCTTCACCCACTATATATTATGTGCCAAATCCTATTCGTACATCAGAGTCTATGTCTGATTAGAAACTTGTATACAGACACATATTAAAATTTATTATTCTTTTTTCTAATTAAAAAATGAAAAAAAAATAAAATTAGATAATAAATGTTTCCATGCTAGAAGCCACCTTAGTTCTTCCCATTGGAAGGCTGTTTTTGTTAATGTCAACCCTACTTTAAAGTGGCGACATAAACCCAAAGTCACGTTCAAAGCCAAACCCTCTCTATTTCCATGTCTTCTTCTTTATTAAAAAAATATATAGCTCAAACAGCATGATGTAGAGGTGCCATGAAACCCTGAAAGTATACAAAAACCCCTCCTCATTCCTCAATAACTTTAACCTTGATTCGTTTGATCTCTCTCTATGTCGGATCAAGAATTTAGAGACTTTTATTACCATGCAAGCACTAACTTCAACAACGATCACCACGTTGAATCCGACATCGACATGCTTAGGGTTTCATCGACCGATCATCCTTCTTCAGACACGAGCTTCATTGATCGGTTACACAGTTCGGTGGACGATTACGGTCTATTCAGAAAGGCCTTTGGGTTGTCACCGTCGTCATCATCGGAAGTGTTTTCTCCGACGATAGAGCAGAAAGTTGGTGCTAAGAGTAGTGAAGTTATGATCATTACTCCTAATCCTTCCATTTCTTCTTCCTCAAGCGAGGCTGTCGGTAATTGTGAAGAAGATTCAGACAATAATAAGAACAAGCAGCCGAAAGAGTCGGATGATGGAGACAAAGAAAGCCCTAAGAATGGGTAACTTCAACTTCTATTTATCTAAGTTTCCCCCCCTTCATTTTGTCATTGATCTCTGAGATCTAGAGATTAATTAGATATTGTATCTGTGTTAGGAACAAAGCAGCTAAAAAGAAAGAAGAAAGGAAGCAGAAGGAACCACGATTTGCTTTCATGACCAGAAGTGAAGTTGATCATCTAGAAGATGGATACAGATGGAGAAAATATGGACAAAAGGCTGTGAAAAACAGCCCTTATCCAAGGTTTGGTTTCTTTTACCTGTCTTGGTTCACAACCAAACAAATCTTATCTTAAATGACAGGAAAAAAATCATGTCTGAAACCAGATTATGTGTTTGGCCTGTGCTTGGCTGCTTGCATACTATCCTTTTGCCCCTTTCTTTGACTTCCAAGATGAATCTTATATGGAACTTAAGCCGCAAGTAATTACTAATCAATGGCCTGATTTATCAATGCAGAAGCTATTATCGGTGCACTACTCAGAAGTGTACGGTCAAGAAAAGGGTCGAGAGGTCATACCAAGACCCATCGACGGTGATCACAACGTACGAAGGGCAACACAACCACCCGCTTGCGACATCGCTGAGAGGGAACACGGCGGCGCTGCTCCAGCCTCCGATGTTTCCGCTGGCGACAAGCGTCCCACACGAACTGTTCATGCAGATGACAGCGCCTCATCACATGAATAACCAAACTGGTGCAGAAAATTTTATCCCTTTGCAGCAGTACTACCAGCATCAGGTCCCTGACTATGGGCTTCTTCAAGACATGGTTCCTTCCTTGTTCCTTAAGCATGAACCATGAATCTCTTTCTTTATATATATATATATATATATATATGTGTGTGTGTGTGTGTATATGCATATTCGACTATTGTAGTATCATCTTACTTGAATTATTATTCAGTTACTGGTTTTAAAATATTTTCTCAACATATTTTAAATAATATGAAAGTTAAAAAAGGACAACTTTAATGGAATAGATGGAGTACAGGATAAGGTATGCCATTTTTTAAAAAAAATTTATATCATAACAATATCTAAATATGTGGGATGGAAGATTCAAATACATTACAAATCATAATATTTTATATTTAATTGCATTGAAGAACATTGGTGCAGAAGTACATTTTCGTTAGAATCTTGAATCATACCATAAATGTGGTGTAACTGGTGTCTGGGAAGTGAGAAAACGAAGGAAAACGCAAAGAAGTTGAAGAAAAGAAGAGAGAAAAATGAAGAACAAACAGAAATCAGTTCTCCAAAATGTAAAAAAATTCTGATAGAAAATAAAGTATAAAGAGACTTTAGCTACATTTATTACACATTAAACCCAGAAACATTCAAACAGATGCCATCATCTTCCATATGAGACCCCCCTCATGCATAAAGACAGTTACCATAGCCTGTATGAAAAAAAGAAACCCAGAATTATGAACACAACGTCAACGAATGAAACTTCAACAGCATAATAAAGAAAAAACATGTTTTAGAACACGATTAGGGTTTAACGGAGGCTTTCTTACTTGGATCGGTGACAGTGACGAGAGCAGAGTTTGTAAAGTAACATGTATGTTCCTGACGGCCATAGGCTTGGTAGTAAGAATTCAAGACAAAAGATGCATGGTTGATGAGATTGTTGAGCTCGTAGAAGGCTCCACCAGGCTGTATCAAGCTGCAGTTCGACGCCATGAATCCGAGATAGTTACAGGCACAGTTAATATTGGAAACCAGTGCTTCACCATCGGTAGATGGCTTTGCCACACACCAGGTTTTTCCCTGTTTAATATTAAAATCACGAGAAAATTGTCGTAACGTTACTTAAACTCCAATTGATTTACAATCAGCTTTTAGATTAGATAGAGCCAAACACCTAAAAATTATATTTTGAAAATTTGTTTAAAAAATGAGACAAAATCATAGTAACATCAAAGTTAAACATTGGTTTTTTACCTGCCCATTGGCCAACTTTAGCAATAGCCCTGCACAAATGGGTGTAAGAACTTTGATAATTCATAGTATAGGGTCCAAAAACGAAATTTTGCCATTTTTAAGCAATAAACGTATTTTTTTTTTCCTTCTGAAAAATAAGCAATAAACATAAGGAGGAGGAGAAAGGGTGCATACCAGAGCCAAATGAAAAGAGGAGCAGAAGAGACAAAACTGGGAGAGAGACAATATATTTAGCCATTGCTCTTTGTAGTATGCAATGAAGATGGAAACTCATATATATATATATATATAATTTCACGCCAAAATTTTCTGCTTCCACTATTTTTCCCCTTATAATTAACTACCGAAACATTCCTGGCACTAGAAAACATCTTGCAGTGGAGTTTCGTAATGGTTTTAACGTCAAAAAAGAGCCTTAAATGGACAGTTTTAACAGAGAAGTCGTAAGAACAAAAGACGAAACAACACTGTAAATGACTTGTAAATTTGCCATAAAAGGGTCTCTTTTAAGTAATGATTAATGGAAATATGTTTTAACCCATGATTAATTTTGGATTTATTATCTTCACTAACCCAGAAACATATAAACCCAAAAGAGCTAAACAGGTTTATGACATGGTCAAATTAAATAGGGATAGACGCATGATTTTATATTTGGGACGGACGCATGATTTTATATTAAGAGAGATGATCTTAAACTTAAGGATGATAAATTAAAATTCTAGGGGGAAAAATTAATTTTCAATAGGAAATATATAGAAAAAATTTACAATATATGATAATTTTAAATTTTTAGAGGGCGACAAACAAATTTTCAATAAAAAATATATAAAAAAATTAAAATCTATAATAATTTTTAAATTTTCAGGAACAACTGTCTCCACCTCTCGATCATTCCCTGAATTGTAAGTAAATGGTCAGTGCAGACATTAGTCAAACATTATCTCTGCCAAATTCCAATGCTTAAAAATGACGAGATATGAAGAATCAATTCACCAGGGGTTTGGTGAGAATGATGACGAGCTGCAGAGATTGGTGTAAAAATTTGGACTAAAGAAGATTCCGTCTGTTTTATAGGCATTGTTTTGGGTTTGATATTATAAGTAGGGTGTTCAAATTTGAGTACCCGATTCTCGGGTTATCTGGATTTTGCATCTACCCGTAATTTGGGTAATCGAGTACCCATTTTTTTTTCAATTTTCAAATTATTAATTTAAAAAAAAAATATCAAATTGATGATTTGAATCTCATATTTCTGGACTGGTTACGTGAAATCTAATGTTTTCTTCTTGAGAGCTTTATGTGAATATCATAGTATAGACAGTAGTTGGAACTTTGATTCTTGAATCTACTTTGTTGCATGTTCTTCGATGATATGTTTTAGTGCATCACATTGCCTTTGAAGCTATGTTATTTGGACTCCAGTTTGTGTATTCCTTGTGGATATGCATTCGACACAAGTATCTTTAATGTTTTCTAAGATTTTTAATGTATTTGGAGGGTTATATTCTTATACCCATGTCTGAAAATGTGCCGAAAAATGGATATGGAACATAAATACTTAAAAGAAAACTGAAGAGATGAGGCCGCAATATAGCTTTGAAGGCACCTTGGAGAACATAAGAAATTGTGTATTTAAGTTGATCTATTGATGCTTGCTAGGTCGCTGCTCTCCTAATAAAAAGTCGAGAATGAGAATTAACGCCGGAAACACCGGCAACAAGGGATGTTGATCTATCTAAAGCTGCAACCGGATACTCCGGTAATAGGGTACCTGAAAAAAAATCTAATTTTGTGATCCGGACCCGACCCGAGAAATGTCGGGCGGGTACCCGACTTGGAACTAGAAATATTTTTAAGAAAATACCCGGATTTTTTTGATCAAGTCGGCGGGTCGAATCATTCGAATCGTGTATTTTTAAACACCCCTAATTATAAGTTGTAAATCACAGTTAATTATGTAACATTTTAGAACAAATTCTCTACTAGTGTAAATGAGTATTAATATTTTATATGAATATCACAATTTTGATCCAATCTAATCTTATAAACTCGATTTTTTTTAAATAAATTGTGTTTGACTTGAATTAGGTTTTCTGAAGGGTAAGGTAATGTCTGATCTTTAGGAACAAATACATTAGAGTATGCCAAAGATCAATCATAAAATTATTGTAATGACGTATTTATTTTACCTTATTTATTAATATAAGACATTGCTATTATTATATAAGTTATTTTTTGGTGTATATAAATAGGTTGAACTATAATAGTCATAAGAATAATATAAAAATTCTTAAAAGTTCTTACTCAATTATGATCGTTGTCTTGGACGATAATAAATACATTAAGAATAACGTGTAGTTGATTGATGACAATGATTTGTAATTGACATAGAGATGCTAGAATCAATACATAAGTGTTAGAGAACAACATATTGAATTGACCCATTATAAGTATGTTTCTTAGATCATTATGGGATACTCACGATATTATTCCTAGTGATAACTATATGTATGATCCTTAAACTTGAGATCATCATTATTCTAACATTGTGAGTAATATAATTGAAAGAGATACAAAGATAATATAAAATTCATTTAAATAAAATAACAATAATATCAAATTTAAATCATAGCACATTTATTCTAATAATTTATATTACTCAATAAAAAATAAAAATAAAATTTAAACTAAACTTACCAAACTACTCAAATACAACTTAATATGTAAAATCAAAATAAATAGTCTAATAATTATAATTTATATTTAAAAATAAAAATTATACTAAAAATTACACGAAAAATTAAATTAAACTTACAAAACCATTCAAATACAACTTAACAATCAAAATAAATAGTCTAATAAATTTATATTTACAATAAAAAATAAAACAATAAAATTTAAACTAAACTTATCAAACCACTTAAATACTATTTAATCTGTAAAATAAAAATAATTAGTCTAATATTTTATATTACTTAATAAAAATAAAAATATAATTTAAACTAAACTTACTAAACTACTCAAATACAACTTAATATGTAAAATCAAAAATAAATAGTATTTTTATATTGATATGATGATGTAAGCATGGTGATTAAAGCATGGAAAAATGGTAGATATCTTGATTCATTAACGGTAAAAATGACTTTTTGGACTAAAATAAATTTTAAATTCATGTAAATGGGTTTTAAAGATTTTTATAAGGAGATTTTTGTTTAAAAAAGTCAAGAATTTTCTTCATTTTCTTCCTAACCGTGAGTGTCATAGCTAAGGTGAGCCAAGTTTTATTTATCATTTTTGAGCCATTTTATTAAGATTTTGGACTAAGTTGTGAAATAGAAAAATATTATACACTAAATTCTCTTTCATTTGATATTAATATTTCATTGAATTCTTGATTGAATGGTTGAATTGGTGTTTATGTTTGATGAAGGGAAAGTAGGAATTCAATGAAATAAGGTTAGTATTTGATGCTAGGAGTATCGTAGAGCTATAATCAAGCATGAAAGTTGATTAAAAATCATTGAGGGACTTGTTTGAAACATTCAGTCATTATAGGGGTTTATGGAGAAATTTTGAATTTGATTGTTTTTTATATCAAATTGATTGAGAATGATTGGAATTGAATGGAAATGAATTTTAGGTGATGATTTCAAGCTTGAAACAAATTAGAGATCATTATACAAGGATCCCTAAACTTTCGACCATAAAGGGAAATTATAGGAAAATTATACAAAAAATTCTTAAGAGCTTAGAATGGATATTAGAATGATATTGTGTGCTTGGAATTATGTTTCGGATCAAATTGGAACTTTGTTGAACTTAAAGGACCATTTTGTATTCTTTGAGAAATTGGGAGGTTAAAGTGAAAATGTTGGAAAGTTAAAGTATTATGCTGAAAATTTATTGTTGGAATGTTGAATTGGGTTGATTTGGAAAGTTGAATAATTTTTGGGGACTAATTTGCAAGTCTTTGAAAAGTTAGTGGTGAAATTGCAAAAGTGCAATGTTAATATACTAGTTTGGAAGTATTGTGTAAATGGTGGAAAATGATTATTGATATGGATTAAAGTAAATATTAAGGGACTACTTTGGAACAATTTCGAAAATGTTGGGTTTAATTTGAAAGAAAAGTTTGTTGGTGGCTAATTGTGAAAAGTTGAAGGGTTAAGTGGATTGTTGCGATGAATGATTATATGAAGGACTTGAAAGGCTATTTTAATGGATTTAAAGCTAGTTTCAATTAAATGAAGGAAAATTAATATTGAATATGAATTGATGACAATTTCAGAATTTTTATATGAATTCGAGTTTATTATATTAGTTAAAGTACTAATTCATGTTTGAAATTTTATATATAAGGAAATGGATGATCGTGCAGATCGTGATCGTAATCAAAATCAAAGCGAATCAAATATGAGAGATATAGTACAAAAGTGGAAGTAATACTAGTAGTAAAACATTAGTGAGGCATCAGGTGAGTGTGTCTTACTTATTTTATATACGATATGAGGACAATTTACGAGAAGCCAACCTCGAACATTTTGAAAAGAAATGAATTTTTATATCGTATTTACATTATTTTTGTTGAGTCATCTAAGAGGATGAAATAACGAAGAGGGGGTGAATTGACAATTAAACATTTTGGTGGAAGTTTGAAAGAAAAATAGGAGATTAAACATGAGAATTTTAGAGTGGTTCAACTTTCTAAACCAAAGTTTACATCTACTACTTTAGCTATCCACACTAAAGATTTTCACAAATTCACTAATTTGTATCAACCTTTGAGGACAAGGTGTAACCTTATAATTCCCTCAAGAATTATACCCCAAATTCTTGAGAACACTCTCTCAAAGAGAAAATTACAATTGTGCAAACTTTGAAAAACCTCTCAAGGAAATTGTTTGCACAATTCAAGAACAAATAAGAACACTAAACAAATAAAACAAATGAGTAGTGTTCTTTGAAAGCAAAAAGAATATTCAAAAACGATGACTTGATTTTGGTTCAATGTGATTGCTTTGACTTTCTTTTTGGTTTCTTGTCATCACATATGGCTTGAAATCTTGTTTTTATACCATCTCATTCAATTCTAGTCGTTTGGGTAGTTGTGGGAGTTAATAGAGCCGTTGAGATGAAATTTCCCGCAATAAATGCTGCCCAGACACCTTGAGTATCGATACTCGGGCTTGTAGCATCGATATTGCCTGTATTAATTACAGAAATCTAGCTGGT